GCGAATAAAAAAAAAAAAACAAATAAAAAACAAAACGAAAATAAAACAAAACACTTCCTCTACCTGCGGCAGAATATACAACACACAACTGAAGTATTTTAGTCCCTGCGTGTTTTCATAGACGGATATAGACTCTCTTGACTTTAGGTAGGCGTCCTGGGTATGACGATAAACTATATCCAACAGCAAGGCCTCTGATCAGGAGGTTTTGAGGAGCGTGGACTACATCTTAATTGCTGGTGTTGCCAGGTCTACCCACTCCCGGGGTGGTAGCACCTGTTAGGGTCCCGGCTATATCTTGTCGGCATTAAATAACTCATTGAGGTTGATATGCTGTAAACCAAACCAAACCAAACCAAACCAAACTGTAGGTGGGAACCAGTCTGGGAGAAAGAAACTTTGAGTGCCAGCCCAGCCTGAACATTTATTAAACACGTTCAACTAGAATATGGCCCCACAGTCTAGTAGTAATCTACTAGGCTGTTGCACCATAACCTAGTTGATAAAAGCGTTGAATCATGAATTCGATGGATGTATGTGTAAATTGCAAGTCAGAATAAGAAATCGGATTCGAATTCCGGCCGAGTTCGTTGCATGTACTTACACGTAAATACTTTTGGAAAAGTCATGAATCCATCTATTCTCCTCACAACTATCGATTAAATAGTAGGACAGAGTGGGTTCTATAGCCTTTGTGTGGCAACCATTCTAGAGATGGTGACTCAATAAAATCAACAATCTCCCAGTAAACCTGATGAGAATATATATATATATATATATATATATATATATATATTATTTATTCGAAAAATATAACATAAAAATGTTATAAAATCACTACAAAAATAGCCATTTTGTTTCAACACTACTGGTGTCTTATCAAGTGATGATGTTGAATGCAGAAAAGTGAACATTGAAGTCAACACTCAGAGGCGACAGGCTGTTTCATACTAGACGCAATCGTCAAGCAGCCTAATATATATATGCGTATATTTTGACAGCATTGGACTAGCGAAAGACACATTCCAAAAGCTAAGCAAAGAAATAGAAACATTTTGTTAGAAACAAAAAAAAAAAAAGAGTTTGATTGTTATGTGGTATCCATTCTCTTATATTGGCAGTGAGTGCTGGACAATCTCCGCACGTCATGTGTTCCGATGAAGTACAGTCCTTGGTCCCACCAGTACTGACCTTTGCAACGGCCACATACACAAGCATGAATCATCCTCGTTTCCTTCGTATTCCTGTTCCACTCGGACAGCTTCTTCCCAAGAATTGCTGCATTATGGTACAGACACCCCGCAAGATGTTTTTCTAATGACGACAATCTTAACCTCTTCAAGTCTAGGGTTAACCGTTATTGTTCCTGCATAACCTCATCAACTTTATTTCTTGCATTTTCTTACGCTCATACAACACCACACAGTATTCCTCTACCTTGAGCGGTTCTTGGGCCTTGTATTTGGTAAAAAAATTTGGTAAAAAAAGATGAAGAGAGAAATGGAGGCAACAGAAATGTGGTTCTGCAGAAGGATATTGAGAATTCCATGGACGGCGCGAGTAAGCAACAAAGAAGTGTTAAAGAAAATGGCAAGAAAAGGAGCACTTCTACTCAGAATCAGGAATTTCTTGGACACATAATGAGGAAGGAACGTTTGGAGAACTTAACCCTCATATTGAGGGTAGGAGAGATATGAGAAGGCAGCTAGTCACCTACTTGACAAGCTTATGCGAACGGAAGGCTGATACGGAGGTTGGGTGCCTTAGCAAAGGGTGAAAAACTGTTAATGGGAACATGAGATAGGTAGTTGCGGAGATCCATGATCACCCGTGTCCTGAAGAGATGCAGCTCACACAAGAAGAATAAACATTATTTGAGCAGCAATCCCTCTTTTTTGAATGTATCATTGAAATTTGACAGACAAAGAATTTTTTTTATTACGTTTTTCCTCTAGTCTTATATTTTTTTGAGTGTTAAGAATGTGTAGAAATTGTCCGCAGTGATTATTATCTCAAGCGCTTTCGGTCAATTCATTAGCCATTTTCATGAATAAAAACCTCCTTGGATAATAATGAAAACGGACATTTTCTACATACTATAAAAAAGAACAGTAAGAAACCTTATAAAATTTTCGTTATTTGTCACATTCAACAAAACAAGCATAATAAACATTAATAAAAGTTTATCATTCAGTTTTCGAACATCCCAGCTATCGAGATAATTATGAAGAAATATGCATATTATATAAGATAAAGTACTTTTCCTGTCTATATCAATATGTACACTCTTGTGCCAGTTAATTGAAACAAAATGAATTCCGTTATTATTTGCTTTTTCCGTATTTTTTCAGTGAAACCTGACACACTGCACATATTAGTACTTCGTATCTCCATTCCACGAAGTCGTTCCTTGCAGATCGACTACAGATTCTTGATTGAATTTAAATCAGGAGAGTTTCCGGGCCAATCTCTACTACTTTGATTTGCTCACTACTATGGCTTGACAGTGTGTTCGTGCAGCATTACAATTTTCGTACGTTTTCTTTGAGTAACAGCCATCGAAGACAATGGCCGTTGGACAAGTAATCGACAGTCGAAACAATAGTGTCTGGGCCTGATAAAAATTTTGATGCAATCATGGATAACGCAATATTTTTCAAGGCTAAATAAATTTCATCATACACCCCGAAAATAAATTCATAATACGGCACACCACTTCAAATGACCTAATCTGAGGAAAAATAGAAATCGATTACACCCTGTCAATCCAGTGGGTCTAAAACTGAACGTATGGTGAAAGAAAGGAAACTAAAACGGTTGTTTCAATTAATTTTTATAAGGGTGTATATCCGTGTCATATCTTTGGGAACACTATAAAATGTTACATGCCAGAAATATGATATATAGATATGTGAATAAGTTTCTTAATGTGCGATTATGGTAAATAAATCCAAGTCGGTACGGATTATGGGTGTAACAACATTTGTGTGCTACTTTCTGAACTGGTAAGGTAGTAAGAGGAGATTGGTTTGTTCAGATATTCATTTACCTTATTTTTTTTTCTTCGTCAGTCAGTGACATGTCAGTAACGAAATGCTTTATTTCTATTTAGGCGATGCAATAGAGCGCAACCAGGAGTTGGTTCGTGTTTTGCATATTAGGGCCGACTGAATATATGCAGATTCAGCTGAAATATGGCATCTTATGAGGAAGATTTTTTCTTGCCATCTACTGATACATAAGTGTCGCTCGATCAGTTTGTCAATCGTTTTATCAATATGTTGGAAAATCCCGTTTGATGGGGTCAGTTCGTCACGATTTGGACTCGCGTAAGACAATTTCTTGTTAAAAGATTAATAGAGAGGCGAATAATTACAAGGAATATTTGCTTAAGGGCACAAAATTTTATGACGGTCATTAAAACAGATACACCCTTCCGCAAATTAAGAGAAACAGTTGCTTTAGTTTCCTTTCTTCCACCATATAGTCAGTTTTAGGCCCATTGGAGTGACAGGGTGTAATCAATTTCTATTTTTTTCCTCAGATTAGATAATTTTCAGTGGTGTGAGATAATATGAATTTATTTTCGGGGTTTGATGAAATTTGCTTGGCCTTAAAAAATATTTCGTCATCCGTGATTGAAGCGGATTTTTATTACACTCAGACACTATTGTCTCGACTGTCGATTAGTTGTCCTACGGCCATTGTCTGCGATGGGTGTTACTCCAAGGAAGCGTACGAAAATTTTTACGCTTTATGAACACACTCGAGGATTTATGGTGAATCTACATGGAATGACTTCATGAAATGGACATACGAAGTACTAACATGTGCACTGGGTCGTAATTTATTGCAAAAATACGAAAAAAGTAAATAATAACGGAATTATTCGTTTTGTTTCAATTAATTTGCACAAGGGTGTATAGTTTATCGAAGAGCAAGGATGTGGGTGGAGAAAAGATTATAACTACGGTAGACAAAATAATTAAATAGATATTAGTCGCTGCGTACATTTAAGTTCTCAATCGAGATCTGAAGAGGAAGGAACGAAAACTAGTCAGCTTCTTTTATTTCTTCCTTCGTTTTATCTTTCTTTTCATTCTTTTCGATTTACCGTTGGCAGTAATTATAAACTTTTCTTTCTTGTTCTCTCCTTTTCCTTAATCTTGCGTCTGTTTTACAGACCATAATTAGAAAGCGCTTTTTCAGATCGTCCTCTAAGACCTAAAAGGAATGGGTTTTAAATACATTTTTTAGTTGTATTTCATACCCTCCCCCCACCAAAAAAAAGAAAGATTAATAAAAATAATAATGATATTTTTCATTTATTTCCGAATTACTTAATAACTAAACTATCACTTGTACGATCAGATCAGATCAACTTTACTGACCTACACTATCGCAGTTTCATTGGAAAATGTTCTGACATGCTAAATTTCCTAGTCCCATCAGTTCCGACATTCACAGCCAAGACCGCCGTGCCGTGTAGACATAGGTGAACCATTGTCATTTACTTTGTATTCCATTTTTTAAGGAACTGTCATTTCAATCTTTCGATGGCTAATGACGTCTATGTGCGCCGCTGCTATGGATGTATTACGGTTCTCCGCTAACTGGAACAATGAACCATCCGATTTTCATGCAGGATAATCTTCCACGAAGCTTAAACTTTCTCTTTGCCAAAACATCCATGTAAATATTTTTTTTTTATCTAGATCCGCCGTGTTTTGTCTATGTCCATGAATATTAGCAGAGTTATCTCATGAAGCGTGTGACCCTTCGCCACGCATGGGCGGTTATTCACTATAGAGTGGCTAACTACATACTGTAGCTGCACAAAAGCGCATTGAATCGCATCACACCGTGCTGGATGCATGGGGACTAGTTGAGGACGCCGCGGAAGGCTATCTCGGAAAGGTACTACTCCTCTGCATGGAACCCCTTAACCCCAATCTGGGAAGAATTCTCGACTTGATATTGTATTCCATTGGTAAGAGCCTTACAGCCATATCACGTTGAAACACTGTTTCCCGTACGATCACTGAAGTTAAACAACGGCGAGCCTGGTTATTACCTAGATGAGTAACCGCTTGGGAATCTTGGGAATGTGCGGCTGGTGCAATAGATAATTGTTAATCGGAGAGCCGTGTTCCAATTCCAGTTGGGTTCGTTACGCACAAATATCTCCGGGAAAAGTATGAATCCACTTTTTCTACTCTCATCTATAGGTTAATTAGTAAAACTTCTATCATTAAATCATTATCATCTCCACCACCAAATTCTTAAAATCTACAAATATTTCTAGATTTAAGTAACCTGGAGATGGTTGATAAGCCGTAAAAACGAATCAATCAATCAAAAAACCATTGATAAGAAAAAAAAAAGTTTCATTCGGACATATACCCAAGTGCTTTGTGTAACAGACTCCCGTGTGGATGCTTCCTGAATATTATAATCTTAACCTCTTCAAGTTTTGTATCAATCGTTATCTATCCTACACAACCTCATAATCTACAAATCTTACGTTCATAAAACAATCCCATTCAGCAATTCTGTATATTGTGTCTCTCTTAGGACCTTGTATTAGGTGACCATAATGGGTAAAAAGGGTGTCTAACAGGAAATCATCAAAAATAGATATACACACGCAAACACACACACACACACACACACACACACACACATATATATATATATATATATATATATAAGAGAAGATATTAGTATTAGTAACCCAAATTTTCCTTGAACTTGTGGCCACAATTCCAAGAAAAATTTGGGTTAATGCTAAACAAAAAAGACAATGGTTAAACATCGGAAAACATAAGGAAAATTAATTCCTTTTAATAATGTGGTAATAACCATTCTTTGCCTGATGAAGGTCGCGAGACGGAAAACTCGTGTAGCAAAAATATGGAAAATAAAGTATAATATATATTTTAAAAAATCCACATTATAACCAAAAACGTTTGCGGTTTCTCGCTTCTCTTTAAAATATACACTTTTCTCTCGTTGGAACAACTATAACCTCTCCCTTATATATATATATATATATATATATATATATAATCTCATGGGAAATAAATTCGACTTTTCCAGAAAGTTTCATAATGATCTCATTGTAACTGAATAGTAGGATGCGTAGAATAGGAAATGCTTACAGTTTTCGAAATCATGGAAAGCGAATTTCGTGTTAAGGAAAGTCACGTATCTGCTTGTATCTTGACGAAAGGGGAAAAACGAAAGCTTATTCGTAAATGTGTATGTTGTTTGTGTATCTCACCTCTCATGAGACATCACAACTCGAGAAAGATAGCAACTTTAGGTTCCAGCTAACAGGATTCTGAAGGCATGTCTGAAGGGCGATTAAATTTGGGTCATTTTAGGTAGGGTTTCAAATCAATACACAACATTTCTTTTCTAACCTAATTTTCATTGAAATGGTAGCGATTTCGTGTAGTAGACATTTGTATATTGTAAGTCAAACCAATGTTTTATAAGTATACATATACACAAAAAAAGATAGAAAGATAAATGGGGACAGAGATAAAGTAAGAAAGATCAGATTGAAATCCTTGATTGATTTAAGTAGAATGATTTTTAATGCCATATCCCCTTATGACGTAGGCGATCATGGCTCGATACAAGTTTTTTTTTTCTAAATTATCTTTGAATTGCCATGAATACTTGAGAAAGATAGTATAGTGGTTTTCCGTTGACTTTTCCATGGTTTTCAATTCATAATAGTCCTTCAAGGCTGGTTGTCACTCAAAGTTAGACAGCGTAGGTCTACTCTGCGATTTAAAATAAAGCTGGGGAAAGGAGAGATTTATGCTTTTCCCAAGCACATCAATTTTGAATTCAAATGATTTCCATCACAACAATATATATATGAAGAAAGATTGAGGCCAATCTGAAATATCAAATATATATACATATAAATAAATACTTTCATAAAAAAAATATTATTATTTTTTAATTTGCAACTTTTTCTATATATACATATTAAGAAAGTATACGTGGCTTTTCAATATGCTATATATATATATATATGTATATATATATATATTATAATTTTTTTCATATAGACAAAAACAATTTACTCACGGCAAGATGCAACTTCGTTTCGGTGCATTTAGTTGCATCACGAAAATGGTTGCACATTATATTATATAACCATTTTGGTTCTCACCAGTTGAGGTGCAACTAAATGCACCGAAACGAAGTTGCATCTTTGTAGTAAGTAAATTGTTTTTGTCTAAATGAAAAAAATATAATAAATAATTATTGCTCTACTATCGGTATTGAGCCCTCTTTTGAATTAATGTTGTGAATGTTACAATTTTTATATTATATTTATATTATTTTCGTTCTCATTACATTCGAAGATATATATATATATATATATATATATATTTGTAAATATATATATATATATATATATATATATATATATATATATAAATATATATATATAGTGCTGGTAAGAAATCCGTTGGTATATAATCCAACTGGATCCTAGTAATATCAAATATTAAAACTGCTCCACAAAAAGAGTTTAATATATTTATTATAACAGAGCATATAAATCCAAAACTACCTCATATGGAGTATACATCTATTTAAAATAACGATAGGTAGTTAGTCTTATTCAACCCCGGTGTATGTACTGTGTTGGTGTCGTGATTGGAAATTTAAAATTTAATTTTGACAGCAGTCGGAAAATTGATACAGATTAAAGTTAAATTTTAAATTTCTAATTACGACACCAATACAGTCCATGCATCAGGGTTGAATAAGACTAACGCACTTCTCGTTAGCTGAAATAGATCTATACCCCATATGAGGTAATTTTGGATTTTGTTGTAATAATTTATATATATATATATATATATATATATATATATATATATATATATATATATATATATAATCGTTTGTTGTATTCGAGCCATTTCTGGCTTTGTTACAACGTTCTTTTTGTGGAGTTGGACTTCGGCATTTCTGGCTTTATTCATGGTTAGTTTTCCACGAGGCACACGTAAATATTAAGAACATCTCATCACATATATTCAACATACGCATGCGATTATTTAAAGACATCAATTGAAGAACAGTAGGAATTGGAAAAAACTAAGCGTTAAAACATCCAGAAATAATGAACTCCAACAATATATATATATATATATATATATATATATAGTTGTATATTTAGGCAGCAATCCTTCCTTTATGCATGTTTCATTAAAACGACAGACAAGGTAACCGTAGTACCTTGTCTGTCGTTTTTAATGAAACATGCATCTATATATATATATATATATATATATATATATATATGTGTGTGTGTGTGTGTAGTGGTTAATACACGCACACACATATATTATATCTATATATATAAATATCTATACATACGTACATACATACACATACATATATATATATAAAAAGTTACAGGTAGAATCCAGGTAGAACCCAATGTCCAGGACAGAGTAAGAATATAATAAAAAGGCTTAAACACTAATATTCCATGGTTATAATTTATTAGATTGGAATCGTAATTACGATCCAATTCATCAGAACTACAAATTCAAAAGGAAGCAGAAATAATAACTCCGGGAATAAAAAATAAAATTTAGTGAGAATGTATGTCTGAGAGTGGGGGGGCGAATGTGAGAGGTAAATGAAAGCTTTAGAGAGGTATATATATACACAGAGGTATATATATATATATATATATATATATATATATATATATATATATATCAGACATACACTCTCACTTAATTTTACTAGACTACCCGTGACTCGTTGGGTGACTGACGGTTCAGGTTATAAAACATTGAAGTAGATTTCAACATTCCAATTAAATGAAAGTTAATTTTATTATGCTTCAGTTAAGTATTTCAATTGTTTCGTGTCATCAATGGCCTGGTCTACAAGTTCATGTTTAATGTTTTACTGATTATTTACAGGATTTTATAGGAATAGAGCTTCCGGGATAAACTTGAATTTTAAATCAAATTAACTGAAAAACATTTTTAATATGCCAAAAAATATTTTAAATTCACTTGAAAATATTTTTTTAATATGCCAAAAAATATTTTAAATTCACTTGAAAATATTTTTTTAATATGCCAAAAAATGTTTTTTTTTTAAATATATAAAATATTGTTTGTTTAAAGAAAGCTGGAATATAAAATAAGTGGCCTACTAACAAGTGGACGAAACAGCAAAGCGGCATCTCTTTGTGCATATCTTTAACTTAAATCCAGTTAATATCAACTAGCAAGGCGCATTAGGCAAAAAAGACTAAAATTTTGAGGACACTTTAAGCAGTGAAGGGTTAATTCCCTTGTTATTATTACCATTATTCATTATTAGTATTATTGAATATATGATAAGAAAATCCTTCAGGGAGAGAAAGTATCACTGGCCCGAAGTAAGCTAGTAAATTAGTTTTGAAAATGAACACAGCTTTCAATTTTAAGGTGATTATTATAAAAAAAAAATGATCCCAAACTTTTGACCTGTAGTACAAACACACACACACACACACACACACACACACACACACACACACACACACACATATATATATATATATATATATGGGCGTTTCAGCTATTTAGTTATTCATTTCTGACGTATGCGTCGTCGTTTTTTTTATAATATCCGATAGATCAATTTTCAAAGAGAAAGTTATTTACTGGGAGCGACGGTGCAGTTCTTCATGCACAAACGTGAGAGAAAATGAAAGGAAAGAACTAACATGTATCAGTATTCTTGCTTATTTGTTGTCTAGACGGTTTCAATTATTGTTTAGGTCCCTATCTCCGCCAATCATTTTTTTTTCAAGCCACATTGGACTCATTTTCTAAGACCTGCAGTCTTGGTGAGTACAAAGAATTCCCTTATATTTCTCGACAACTTTAGCACCCCGTCAACGTCCCAGTAGTCTCCCCCATTATCCCGTTTGATACAATGTCCATCATCTGGATAAAAAAAACAAAACAATTTTTAATAAAAACAATAATATTAAAATTGTATGAAAAAATAAATAAAATGTTAGAATTGATGGATGAATGAAAATTGATGTGTAAAA